CATTTTTAGTAGCTACTGTCCCTTTAAGAGCTTCACGCGTTTCTCTCTCAACTGTTTACTTTCATTTCAGACATAACCAACTGTGTTTATATGTAAACCTTGTGTGTTTTTGACAGTATTAGACGCGAAATCAATCAGACGCGAAAGACAACTTAGTCCAATAATCAGGCGCTTTTTGACTGGCTCTCAGTGTGAGCGCGCTTCATGAGTGCGTGCTCATAAAAAGCGCATGCAGAACAGCACGTGAATTCAATGTTTAACCGGTATTGCTTTAAAGCAGATGGAAATAGTGTAGTTTTGTGATTGCGCATAAGTGCAGTGTCCCGTGAGAGTAACTCTACCGCTGAGCTAACACTGATGTGAATGCATGTGGCGTTGTACATTATATTGAGACGGAGGGAGGCGCCAGAACTGCAGCTGATAGAATGTGCGCTGTAGCAGATACAACGATATTTCTTCTAAAGCAGATCGTGGAGACATTTTAATCGTCCACGATCAAAAATCGTCATATTGCACACCCCTAACTACCAAGTATAATCAACCTCTCACACACAAACAAGCACAACGAAATCACTACACACTATTAAGCGGCTGTGTTATGAACATGCAAAACTGTATCGCACACGTGCTACAGTGGTAAATTTATTCATCGCACAGACCAGTTTTTTCGTAGCACGTGCGACATATATGTCGCACTGTACAGCCCTGTAAAGTGAAGAGATAGAGCTGAAGTGCTAATACAGATTTTTAATTAATATTTTTATTATGCAAGGATGGATTACATTGATAATTTGTTTGAAAACATATGGATTTATAATTTGTTTGTTTGTTTGTTTGTTTGTTTGTTTGTTTTTTGTTGTGCAGTCAGCTGCTTCTGTGACTCCCATTTTAATTCATTTCTTTTTTTTGTCATAGCTGAGAAAATACGTTTTATTCAAGTGCTTGTCTCACAGCTCAAAGCCAGTTCACAAACAAATAAAAAGTCAAAGTTTTAGGACTGAAACTTTAACAGTCAGAAGTGTAGAAACAATGCAGTGCCAAAAAGGGCTTGAGTTGATATTTAAAGAAAGAGATGTTTTTCAAAGCTCAATGGGTTTGACTTCCAGAGTTTTTCTCCCATGATACTGAATAAAAACAGCACAAATCTTCTGTAACATCCTTCAGATCAAACATACAGCACTTAATGGTAAACTGTACGTTGCCACTGGGGAATAGTGTGAATGCTGTAGATTGTTGGGTAGGTTTGCTTTGCTGCAGTGTTGTCACTCCACGGGGTCACTTTAATTATAGGACCAAGGAAAGCTTTCATGCAAATACATGAAAGGCAAGCCTCCATCTCATTGTTTTTATGTCTCCCAGGCTCAACTTTTTTCGAGACGTGCCCAATTTCCGCGTGCTGGCCTGCGGAGGTGATGGATCAGTGGGGTGGATTTTGGACTGCATTGGTGAGTACGCATCAGCATCAGTGCTTTCTAGAGCCGTAATAATTAACATTGTTACATGGACTTAATAATAGATCATCAGCCTAATGTAGAAGTTACACGGTACATGCATTAGTAGCATGAACTGCAACAGCAGGCTCGCACTGGGATTTCACACACGACAGCATTTCAGCTGCTCCGTACCGAAAATAAAGTGATTTCTGGTTTGCTAAATATCGCTTTCATCTTTCAAGATTAGTTTTTAATGATGTGACCAAAGAAAACGCCTTCATTTGAGATACAGATCTTATGCTGACTGTCTAGTTTGATTGCACTTTATATTTCCTGCTATTTTGCATCTGCATTTACCCTAGGAGATCAATAAAGCATGTCAACCAAATTCATTGACAAACATTTGAACATTAGGACATCCTTCCATGCGGTACTTGACTCGAGGCTGGCTCTTATTTAAGGCACATAGAATCATGACGTATAACCGTCAGAAAGATTGTTCACAAATCATTGTTTCTAGGAAGCGCATTGACTCATCTGTGACCTCTTTCATATGAGTGAATGCAGGATAACAGTGGAGATCTAATGGCCTGTCTTTCCCTCTCCTGACAGCCGTATTGATGTTAATGGACGAGTGCTGGAGATGAACCTGTGTGGGCGATGGTAGATATCGCCGCAAACTGATTTAGAATCAGCTTGGTCTCCAAACCTTTGGCTTGAAATTGCAATGGGCTGATGGTACTGAAACCTAAACTTAGATCAGAAGCAATGTGCTCTTTATCCCTTTAGAGACTCTTTAGCCTGGCAAATTGAGGAGGACAGGGACACATATGGGAGTTTGTCCTCCTAACAGCCCTAAAGTGATGATTTAGGAGCAGCTTTTGAATGAGAGCCACTCTGCTAACAGTCCTTGCTTGTTGTTCTCCCACACGAGTTTGACTGGTATTAGAAAATGTCTGCTGCTGACGATTACTCAGAGAGCCCCTGCGGTTAGGCAGTACATCACGCCATACGGACCAGCACCGAAAAAAACAATGTCCCTGCAGTCCCTGTGCACATAGCAATGAGCCACACAGGGACCATCAGCATGAGGACAGAAAGATACAGTTCATCATGTTGCCTCTCTTCAGCAGAATGCACACACACTGCTGTTTGTTTCAGAACAAGAGAAACAAACAAATTTACTGTGGATTATCGTGAGGAATGATACACACTGATGCATGAAGCACTAGCCAATTCTGTATGCCTAACTTCAATGCCTTTTTAAAAGGAGAAGTTAGATCAGGATCTTCAACCAGGCCATGGAAGGATCCCTTGTTACATTTTGTTTTAAAAAGAGTGTAATATGTAGTTCCATATTAATGCATTTACTTTACTGTTTGGAAACAGTTTTTAAGAAATTAAAATCAGCAAAGATGCATTAAATTGATCAAAAGTGACAGAAAAGATGTATACTTTTACAAAATATATCCGTTTCCATTAAAAGCTATTCTTTTGAATTGTCTATTCATCAAAAAATCCTGAAAGCAGTCCAACTGTATTCAACATTGATAGCACCCAATCAGCATATTGGAATGATCATGTGACACTTATGGCTGCTGAAAATTTAGCTTTGCCATCACAGGAATAAATTGCATTTTATAATATATTAAAATAGAAAACTAGTTATTTTAAGTTGTAATAATATTTCACATTATTACTGTATTTTTAATTAATTAAGATCAGCCTTGATGAGCATAAGAGGTTTCTTTCAAAAACATTAAATAATCTTACGGACCTCAAACTTTTGAGCGGTATTGTACATACGTGCGAATCCTTTAAATATAATCATAATTTATGTCCAAGTTAAATATGTGCTTTAAATTTATTTTTACTTACAGTAATATATTTTAATGTGGGTTGAAAATATTTTGAAACAAATGTATCTTTTTGAGGTATAAAGGTATAATGCATATTTACATTTTTTTCCACAAAAAATGAAATAATTTAAAAAAATAAAAATTAAAAGGAGAATGACCCCCCTTTTTGTTTTCTAACACTCCCCCATGTTCCATTATTAAGCCAAACAAATAGTCCCACCCCAAATATACAGTGAAATGTTGAGCCAGTGTTGCTATATCAGGCCGCTGTGCAATGTTTTGAACATCACAGAGCCCCATTGTTTACACTTTTCAAGGAACTCTGCACATTAAACTGGAATAATAGAGAGTGTTTTAACATGAAAATGACACACAGCAGCTTTAACAGCTCTCTTTGTTTCTCAACAGATAAGGCCAATTTTGCTCGGCATCCGCCTGTTGCGATCCTGCCACTGGGTACCGGGAATGACCTCGCTCGCTGTCTGCGCTGGGGTGGAGGTGAGGAATAAATAAGAGACTGTCCACCAGCAGTTGGAGGAAATTACTAAAGGCCTTTTAAATGAAACTTAAAGGGCTTTCCTTCACGGAACCACTCGAGATTAGGCTTTGAATTCTTTGAATCTGAACACAATCCCGTATAAACCCTTCAAAATGATTTTGAGACTGCTTTCTTTTAAACATTTCCACGCACACCCCCCAACAGAAGGTCAGACTGTAATGATCAAACTTTATCGTAGTTAGCTATGTCCCTGCAGTCCCTGTGCACATAGCAATAAGCCACACAGGGACCATCAGCATGAGGACAGAAAGATACAGTTCATCATGTTGCCTCTCTTCAGCAGAATGCACACACACTGCTGTTTGTTTCAGAACAAGAGAAACAAACAAATTTACTGTGGATTATTGTGAGGAATGATACACATTGATGCATGAAGCACTAGCCAATTCTGTATGCCTAACTTCAATGCCTTTTTAAAAGGAGAAGTTAGATCAGGATCTTCAACCAGGCCATGGAAGGATCCCTTGTTACATTTTGTTTAAAAAAAGAGTGTAATATGTAGTTCCATATTAATGCATTTACTTTACTGTTTGGAAACAGTTTTTAAGAAATTAAAATCAGCAAAGATGCATTAAATTGATCAAAAGTGACAGAAAAGATGTATACTTTTACAAAATATATCCGTTTCCATTAAAAGCTATTCTTTTGAATTGTCTATTCATCAAAGAATCCTGAAAGCAGTCCAACTGTATTCAACATTGATAGCACCCAATCAGCATATTGGAATGATCATGTGACACTTATGGCTGCTGAAAATTTAGCTTTGCCATCACAGGAATAAATTGCATTTTATAATATATTAAAATAGAAAACTAGTTATTTTAAGTTGTAATAATATTTCACATTATTACTGTATTTTTTAATTAATTAAAATCAGCCTTGATGAGCATAAGAGGTTTCTTTCAAAAACATTAAATAATCTTACGGACCTCAAACTTTTGAGCGGTATTGTACATACGTGCGAATCCATTAAATATAATCATAATTTATGTCCAAATTAAATATGTGCTTTATTTAATTTTTACTTAAAGTAATACATTTTAATGTGGGTGGGAAATATTTTGAAACAAATTTAGCTTCTTGAGGTATGAAGTTTTAACGCATATTTTCTTTTTTCTTTTTAAAAGAAATGAAAAAAAAAGAAAAATAAATGAAATAAAAATAATGAATTAATTTTAAAAAATAATTAGGAAACAATAATTGTCTGACCCCCCTGCAGCACTGCTGACACCTTTTTTGAGCCCTGAATTACACCAAATAAAAATGAAAAGGTTTTCAAACAGGTTTTCTAACTCACCCCATGTTTCATTATTAAGCCAAACAAATAGTCCAGCCCCAAATCTACAGCAAAACGCTGAGCCAGTGTTACTATGTCAGGCCACTGTGCAATGTTTTGACCACAGAGGCCCAGTGTTTACACTTTTGAAGGAACTCTGCACATTAAACTGGGATAATCGAGAGTGTTTTAACATATAAAATGCCACACAGCAGCTTTAATAGCTCTTTGTTTCTCAACAGATAAGGCCAATTTTGCTCGGGATCCACCTGTTGCGATCCTGCCACTGGGTACCGGGAATGATCTCGCTCGCTGCCTGCGCTGGGGTGGAGGTGAGGAATGAAAAAGAGACTGTACACCAGCAGTTGAAATGAATTACTAAAGGCCTTTGAAATGAAACTTAAAGGGCTTTCCTTCACGGAGCCACTCGAGTTGAGTTTAGGCTTTGATTTTTTTAAATCTCAACGCAATCCTGTATAAACCCTTCAAACGGATTTTTAGACTGCTTTCTTTTAAACATTTCCACACACAACCCTCAACAGAAGGTCAGACTGTAATAATCAAACTTGATCATAGTTAGCTGAATGCTCCAGTCACATGAATGAAAGAGCAGGATTTGTTGAGACCACACTTGAATTCAGGAATTTGATTCTGTGATCTTCATCACACAGAAGACCGCGCTTGCCCAGTTAAACCAATTAAGTAAATGAAAAATGAAAATTCTCTCTCATTATTTGTCTTCAGCACAAAAGGAGAACTTTTGAATAATGTACTGGCACCATAAAAGAAGTCTGTGTGCTATTTTCCACGTCTTTTGAATCCATACTGCTGCGACTGGACCAGTGTGACCAAACAGTTGGTGGTAGCCATTGACTTTCATAGTTTTTGTTTCTATACTATGGAACTAAATGGCTACCAGCAACTATTTGGTTACCAACATTCTTCAAAATATCTTCTTTAGTGTTCAGCAGAATCAAGAAACTTATACACGCTTGGAACAACTTGAGGTTGAGTAAATGATGGCAGAATTTTCATTTTTGGGTGAACTATCCCTTTAAACTTATTTATCTTAGTTAGTTGCCAAGGCAACATTTCTAATTTAAAGTGAGCTGAAGTTTTTCAGCAGCATGTACATAATATGTATATTTCATTTTATTTCAGCTATATTACCGAAAATGATTTTTAATAGTGATAACAACACTGTTAAGAGGTGAGACAGTTACAGTCATTTCTAACAAGAGATAAATAAACTATTCTTTGAATATATATATAGACTTGCCAATCATTTGCCAACAAGAGACCTGCACTGTTTCATTCCTGTGTGATTACATAAGCTTGTTCTTGATTAGATATGTGGGTTTATTCAGTAGTTTATGATGGAATGATATGCATCAGTGAACCTGCATCTGCTTGTAAGGCAGGTGTGGATGGCCTTGTACAGGCTGCTGAATTAATTGGCCTCATATCAGTGTTTCCTGTGTGAGCATGTGTGTGGTTTGTGCAACCGGGTAAGGTTTTGCATGAATGTATTCTTAATTTCATTTGGATGGTAGATTGACTTTGAAACACGTGTATCACCTGTATTCAGTGCAGAGCTGCCATGTGAGCGTCCGTTCACGTAACGTTCGATTGGAAGCGTCTGCATGTCTGGTTCAGAAAGGCAGACTGAGCACCTGGGTGTCATCACACATGTGATATTTCACTGCTTGGGTTGCCAGGCGGGAGCCAGTATCCCCATCTGACTCACAGCATGACGGCCCTCGTTAAGAGATGCCGCCTCTTATGATAGCAACGTAACAAGTAGACTCTGTATCCTGCCCATTACAATTAGGAAGTAATTGCAGTTCGTCCACCTCAGGGAACCTTTCTAAGGATCCCTTCATGTCATTTGGAAGGGTTGCCAGGCATTGACAAAATCCCTTGATGTAATGCAGTAGTAAATTTGAGTTAGCCTTTTTTTATGTATGTATATATACATACAAAACAACAAAATCAGAATGTAGTGTTCCAAAAAAGGACCAAGGACCAAAAAGCATCATACAAATTTAGTCAAATAAGTCATACAATTTAGTTTGTGTGTGAAACGGACTGGATGTAAGTTAAGTTAAAACTCGAGAACCACTGTGCCTAACATGAATAACAATATACACATTTTACACAAGATACACAGTATACACAATATACACAAGGGATAGACAGTATACACAGGAAGTTTACATATGTTAGAACCGAATGCAGTCGCAGTAATCAAAGTAGTCACAGTAATTTTCAGTATTATGCACAGTAATATCACAGTGAAATATAACGTCAGTGTTGTTATAGAGAGCAGATGATGTGCTGTGATGCAAAAACATTGGTCATTCTCACCTCAGACTTATAGTTTTGATTAGAATACATCCAGTTAGGCGGTTGCATACAGTCTAGTTTAACGTTCAAATATTTTACAACACCTGAAACTCAAACTGGATCAGAAAATTGGCTATACATATATATTCAGAACTCCTGTACTACTCTCCGTTGGAAATGAATAAATTATGATCTGTCATTTGTCAGAGAAAAGGCTGCTTTATACTTTCACAGCATTGTGTTACTTAGGCAAGTTCAATCATTTTATCTTGCTGTGTTGAAATTTTAATTAAGCCATGTTAACCTTGGATTTGAGATAATGTGAGTCTTTCGTTGTCATGAGTAGAACAAAAGTGGAATCGTGCTTGTTTTATTCTACTTTTCTATGCGTGGACACTTGTTTGCTCTTGTTCATAGATAAAAAGGAGCTTTTGTGCTGGAAGTAATTGCAGTTCGTCCACCTCAGGGAACCTTTCTAAGGATCCCTTCATGTCATTTGGAAGGGTTGCCAGGCATTGACAAAATCCCGTGATGTAATGCAATAGTAAATTTGAGTTAGCCTTTTTTTTATGTATGTATATATACATACAAAACAACAAAATCAGAATGTAGTGTTCCAAAAAAGGACCAAGGACCAAAAAGCATCATACAAATTTAGTCAAATAAGTCATACAATTTAGTTTGTGTGTGAAACGGACTGGATGTAAGTTAAGTTAAAACTCGAGAACCACTGTGCCTAACATGAATAACAATATACACATTTTACACAAGATACACAGTATACACAATATACACAAGGGATAGACAGTATACACAGGAAGTTTACATATGTTAGAACCGAATGCAGTCGCAGTAATCAAAGTAGTCACAGTAATTTTCAGTATTATGCACAGTAATATCACAGTGAAATATAACGTCAGTGTTGTTATAGAGAGCAGATGATGTGCTGTGATGCAAAAACATTGGTCATTCTCACCTCAGACTTATAGTTTTGATTAGAATACATCCAGTTAGGCGGTTGCATACAGTCTAGTTTAACGTTCAAATATTTTACAACACCTGAAACTCAAACTGGATCAGAAAATTGGCTATACATATATATTCAGAACTCCTGTACTACTCTCCGTTGGAAATGAATAAATTATGATCTGTCATTTGTCAGAGAAAAGGCTGCTTTATACTTTCACAGCATTGTGTTACTTAGGCAAGTTCAATCATTTTATCTTGCTGTGTTGAAATTTTAATTAAGCCATGTTAACCTTGGATTTGAGATAATGTGAGTCTTTCGTTGTCATGAGTAGAACAAAAGTGGAATCGTGCTTGTTTTATTCTACTTTTCTATGCGTGGACACTTGTTTGCTCTTGTTCATAGATAAAAAGGAGCTTTTGTGCTTTTCTTCATGTGTGTGTCTGCAACAGTAAGAACATCCATACATCAGTTCGAGTCTATAATTTACACGTTATGTAAGTTCATGCAGTGTCTGTGTTGTGATTGACAGGCTATGAAGGAGGCAGTCTGGTCAAATTCCTCAGGGATATCGAGCACAGCACTGAAGTGCAGCTTGACCGCTGGAACATCGACATTGTCCCTGACGATAAAGAGGAGAAGGGCGACCCTGTGCCCTACAGCATAGTGAACAACTACTTCTCCATTGGAGTGGTGAGAACATACAACACTTTTACACAAATGCTTACAGCTCAAAGAGACTCAATATCAGAACTCCTGAAAGTGCTGTTATATTAAACCTCCTCCTTCTAGCCACACTCATCATCAGTCAAAATCTCTTACTCCCCATTATAAGTGTGTATTTTTACCAAAGCCTGAGGCCAAACCTCTCTTTAAAGTAATTTGTGATTAATTAAATGTTGTTTCTCATGTAGCATTAGAATTAATTATAATTGTCAGGGGAACAACATGTTCAAACTTCACTGATGTGATTTACTGCGTCTGAAACAGTTTCATGCCTGTGACTCAGTGTATTATTGCACAGAATTCTCCTTCTCACACACAGTTGCTTAGCAACCCTCTTCTGTTCAATTGTTATATCCCATGTTGTTGCTATAATCAAGCACTTATTATCAGAGCAGTTAAATGTCGATTCAATATGTTTTTTTTTTTTTGACAAGAAAAAAAATCTCTTTCAGAAAGTAGTTACATAATCATTTTCTACTTCTTTTTATATACCAACTTGTGGGGTAGATTATATAACAAATAAATAAGTGATTTAAAAAAAAATATGTTTTCAAGTGTTTTTTGCCAGATGGTCACTTTCTATTACTGTAAGAAGTTACTGACGTAGAAGATTCAGAATCTGCCACAATTATAAAATGAGAGGGAAACAAAATTCAAAGATTCAAAAGTGAATGCCAATGAGGTTATTTACAGCTAGGGATGAATTTCTGTTCTTTCGCTGGCACAGTCTAGCCACACAGGAGCCAGGTGGGTCTCCGTGAGCCTGTCGTCCTCCCTTTGTTTAGCTAATGATTAATTTCTGCCCTGTTTTTAGAACCCGTCACTATATATAGTAAGTCTGCTTTCATTTCTGAAAAATGTCCAATATTCTATTATAATCAGCCGAATCCCAGGTGTGTTGGATGACTGCTGTTTTATCTCGCTAAAATGTGCCAAGTAGTCAGGCCACATTTAGAATGGCCAGAAATAGTGACGCGACCTGAAACGGGCCACCTGACCTGGTTGAAATGGTAGTGAAGAGTGACAGAAGGCACATACAAGCTTTATGCAAGGTGGCATGAAGGAATGCGCCACTTCAGGGCTGTTATGCAACTCAGCTTAGTGTCCCGCTTGTCTCTGTGTTCATCAGCCAATGACACAGACCACATAAGAGTTATTGTTGTAGAAGCCTAGAGAAATTGTTGTTGAAATGTGCAAATAATAAATCTAGCACTCTAGTTTTATGGGAAATAAAATCACAAATTAACAAATATTATATAATGCTTAACAGACCACTAATTAATATACATATCATATGGCACTGAAGACTGGAGTAATGGCTGATGAAAGTTCAGCTTTGTATCACAGAAATAAATTATATTTTAAAGTATATTTAAGTATATTAACATAGAAAACCATTATTTTAAACAATATTACTGTTTTTTGGTTAAATAAATGCAGCCTTGATGAGCATAAGAAACTTCTGGAAGAAATTAAATTAAAAAGATTAAAAATCTTACTGATTTATATATATA